TCCAGCCAGGGTTAACCCACCACAATGTGTTTATAGTTATGTTGTAATTTTTTTTTTCTGGTCTAGTCAGGAGGCAGAGGCATCAAAATGCATCATTTGGATTGGACTTCATCCACAAGTTTATGGAGTTGTTGTAATACCAGCTTTCTTTCCTTCTTACGCTGCTGTTCCCATCAGTTTATCCTGTCTAGAGTTTGTGCTGAGCCTTACTTTTAGCTATAGCATTGAGAAAAATGGAAAGGTTTTGAAACTGTGGCTCATGCAGGGAGATAAATGATCTTTCATTTCAGTCTTAATTATTCTGTAGAACTCCTCTTTCTCTAGCAATGGACAACACAGCAACATCTCCCCCCTCCTCCCCCACCCCAACCCCCCCTGCCCCGGAAGCTCAGTGTCACCCTGTGATTGCAGTAGGGAAATGAACCAGCTTTAACTTCACTGTGCTGTTCCTGAGCTTCTGGAAGTGCAGCTGGGGGGCACAGTTGTGAAGGAAAGGTGTGCCAGTAGAGTAGTAACAAAAGCAAAGATAGTATATGGACATTATTTCAATGATAAAGTTCTAAAAGATGTCCTGATGTATTTTGTTACTTGTTGCAGAATTATAAAAATAAGTATTTTGCTTTCCACAGGTGCGTGTGTGTGAAAAGGTGGCTTTTGTGTAAGCATGTAGGTTTTCACATTATAAAATGAGTTATGTCATGGAGGAGACAAATTTGGAATGAAACTTCTGCTTTTCTTGAAGGCAGATAGAGGCCTTGACACTCACCACCTATGGCAGATAATACTTCTCCTAATGTTTTTAGGTGTTGCGTGGCTTGCTGTACATCCCTGAAACTATGTATTATTGCATAGACAAAACTAATAGATTACAAGTTGTGCAGTGTTTGAATACAAAGTAAATGTAACTCTTGCTTTCATTTCCTATTCAGTCATTTGTTTCTTTTGCTCAGGGTGCCTGACCTGTGTTTGGTCTTTCACAGATTTTGGTATGTTTTAGTGTCTCTGTTTTTAAACTTGCGGTGATTCAGAAGCAGCACAGGTGTCTTTTAATGAGACACA